TTTCACAGTTATGATCTTTGCAGCTTTCCCATGATCAGGGGTAGGCAACCTTGGCTCTTTTATGACTCATGGACTTCAATTCCCAGAATTCCTGAGTCAGCCATGCTGACTCAGGAATTCTGGGAATTGAAGTCCACGAGTCATAAAAGAGCCAAGGTTGCCTACCCCTGCCCATGATCATGTGATCCAAATTCAGAGGCTTGGCAACTGGTTCATATTTAGGACAGTTGCAAGCGTCCCCGGGGCCACGTGATCAACTTTTGTGACCTCCTGACAATCAAAGTGAAGGGGGAAGCCAAATTCCCTTAACAACCGTGTTCCTAACTTAACAAGCGCACCGATTCACTTAGCAGCTGTGGCAAGAAAGGTCATAAAATGGAGCAAAACTCACATAATGACTGTCTCACTTAGCAATAGAAAATTTGGGCTCTGTTGTGGTCGTAAGGCGAGGACTACCTGTAGTCCACTCTAGTTGGAACTAGGGAAGGCAAGTCTACATGTGATCCGTCATGTAAACCTTGTGTGATTCAGTAGTGTTTTTTTTAAAAAAATAACTAATAAACTGCCAGCAAACATTGTTCCACCACTGTCTAGATCAGTGGTGGCGAACCTATGGCATGCGTGCCAGAGGCGGCACTCAGAGCCTTCTCTGTGGGCACACGTGCTGTCGCCCCAGCCCTGCCTCCTCCCGTGGCCTCCTCCTCACCAGCAGACCCCCTGGAGTAGAGTCACCCCCAGGCACGGCCTGTGCGGAGCAGCGCAGCCTAGGACAGTGATGGCGAACCTTTTAGAGACCGAGTGCCCAAACTGCAACCCCAAACCCACTTATTTATCACAAAGTGCCAGGGCCGCATCAGCATTGTGGTGCCCTCAGGAGGGGGCAGGGAGGCGCCTCTGAGTGCCACCTCTGGCACGCAAAACCCGGGGGCACAAAAATGGGCCACCGTGCTGCAAGGTGCAAAAATGGCCACCGCCGCGCCACGGGGTGCAGATACAAGGCACTGCACCATGCAAGAACAGGGCAGTGCTAGTGAGTATCACACAGGCACTAGCCCCGCCCCATTTCCAGTGCATGCGTGCTCGTGGCCCCGTGCACGCATGCACGCATGTAAAATGCTTCCCCTTCCCTTTTCTTCCAGTCCACCAATCGACAACGGTTGGTGACCTCTGCTCTACCACCTCTACTCGAGCTTGCTAGTCGGCCGCTTCGCCTTTGTGCTGGGCGGGGCTCCTGCTCCGGGTGGCGGTGGCTCCCTGATGGACCTGCTGCTGGCAGAGGTGGCACGCGTACCAACAGAGAGGGCTCTGAGTGCCGCCTCTGGCATGCGTGCCATAGGTTCGCCACCACTGGCCTAGGACATGGCAGCCGGACAGCAGGGACAAGACTCCGCCCTTGTGCCGCATTGCGCGCAGATGATGCTGCAGGGCGCAGGCAGACGGCGTGGCTGCCATGGCGCTGCTGGGCTGCCTGGGCAATCTGCAGCAGGCCATGGAGGTGGTGGGTGGCCAGGTGGGTGGAGCGAGAGGTTGGGGGGCGGGGC